CCTCTAAATTAGTAAAGTAGTGAGCTGAAGTTATGAGAGAAAAGTTAAACAGAGAAAGAGGTCCTGAAGTTTCAATATCTACCTAATAGGAGTTCTAGAAAGAGAGAATGGAAGCAAAAAAATACTCAAGGTAAAAATGAAGAAAATGCCCAGAGCCGAAGAAAGATACAGTTTTCAGATTGAAAGGAATCACTAGGTACAGAACAAGATGAAAGACAGAAAAACCTCCCTACCTAGATACTTGCTTGATGAATTTTCAGAACCAAGGATTAAGAAAAAAACCCTAAATGCTACCATGGAGAGACAACTGATTACTCTAGTAGGTGAGCGAGAATCAGATTGGCATGAGGCATTTTTGGAGGTTGGAGGGTGGTAGTTGTGCAACATGGCTACTTAGAAGGCTTTATAATGTCTTCAGAGTTTGTGAGGAGAAATTTATTTTGAACCCTTGCCAAGCTTATATTCTTGCAATAGGGTAAGATAAAGGTACTTTCACATGAAAAATTTTTTTTCCAGGAAAGTAAGTGTTATCTACTATTTGTTTGATGTTAGAAATGAAATAAACTAACAGAGTAGATGAATATTCTTCCAACTTTTGGCTTTAAAAATTTCTCGAAGCCTTTGATGGAAAAGACATCATTACATAGAGTTTAATAAGCAATAGCTTTTCAGAAACATTTTTCAGAGATTAAAAACCATAGTACATAAAAATTCAAACAAGTAGAGACCAAAAATTAAAAGGAAACCATAAACTGATAAATAGCATTAAGTTTCCTAGAGTGATTTAAATGTATTGTTAGATAATTGACCCTCATTGAAACTACATATCTAGGGCAGAACCAAGCTTAGGGATAGGTAGCCAAAGGAATGAAATCATCTCTGTTTTGTGTCCTGTTTGTTAAGATATGTGAAAGAATTACCATGCTGACACAGTATATTACCCCTTTCTTGAATTGGTTTGGACTGCTATACTCGGAAGAACTACCAAGATAAAGATGTTTGTACTTCAGCCCTGCTAACAAATGAGAATAAGCCACATCAAAATTGAGCTTAAATATCCACAAAAGGAAATAGAAACTCCCTTTGCAGCCATATGGAATAGAACCGTAGGGGTTTGGTAACAGAGATTGGCCATTAGTATGAATCTGTAAATTAAATAAAATGGAAGTAGACTCATTTTATATGGTTCCCTTAGGATTTTCAGCACGATCCTCAGGTATTTGGAGAGATTTGAGTCATAAGTACTTAAGACAGGGTAATGTGATCTAGCTTCAGCAAAGCCCTAGACAGAGATATAATAGTTGAATGGGCCATAGCAATGGATGTGTCTTTAGCAATGGATGTGTCATTTTTAATATTATGCTCATTTAAGATTAAAGAGTAGGAACACTTTCTGTGGAGTGCCAGGGACATGAAACTTTGACATCTTAGTTCTTCAATCA